TTTTTGGTATTTTTAGTAGAGACGGGGTTTCACCATGTTAGCCAGGATGGTCTCGATCTCCTGACCTCGTGATCCGCCCGTCTCAGCCTCTCAAAGTGCTGGGATTACAGGCTTGAGCCACCGCGCCCAGCTAAATCATGTTTTTTAAAGCCATTCTCTGTGTTTCCATTGATAAACTTAGCTCACTTACATGTATTTTAATTATTGACATGTTAAGGCTTAAGTCTGACATTTTATTTTCTGTTTCCTGGTCTCTTTTTTTTTAATTCTGTTTTCTTTCTTTTTCTTTTTCTTTTTTCTTTATTTATTTATTTATTTTTTGAGATGGAGTTTCACTCATCACCCAGGCTGGAGTGCAATGACATGATCTAGGCTCACTGCAGCCTCCGCCTCCCAGGTTCAAGTGATTCTCCTGCCTCAGCCTCCCGAGTAGCTGGAATTACAGACGCCCACCACGCTCGGCTAATTTTTTGTATTTTTAGTAGAGATGGGGTTTCACCTTGTTGGGCAGGCTGGCCTCGAACTCCTGACCTCAGGTGATCCGCCCAGCCTGTTTTATTTCTTTTTCTTTCCTCTAGTGTTTGTGAGTATATCTCCTTGTATAGATTTTTTAGTGGTTCTTTCAGGTGATTACGTTACATATCCATAACTTATCACAGTCTACTGGTATCATCATTTTACCAGTTGAGTCATACGTAGAAATCTTACCTTCTTTTTTTTTTTTTTTTTTCTGAGCTGGAGTCTCACTTTGTCACCTAGGCTGGTGTGCAGTGTGCAGTGGCACAATCTTAGCTTACTAAAACCTCCACCTCTTGGATTCAAGCAATACTCCTGCCTCAGCCTCCCAACTAACTGGGCCCCCAGGTGTGCGCCACCATGCCCAGCTAGTTTTTGTATTTTAGTAGAGATGGGTTTCACTATGTTGGCCAGGTTCATCTCAAACTCCTGACCTCAGGTGATCCACCTGCCTCAGCCTCCCAAAGTGTGGAATTATAGGCATGAGCCACCATGCCTGGCCTTCTCTTAATGTCCTTTACTCTGCCCCATTTATAATATAATTTTCTTAAATATTTCTTCCACATATACAGTGTTATAACATTTGCTTTAGTAATCAAGCATAATTACAAACTCAAAAGGATAAGGAAAACCTATTGTATTTACCTCATTTTTGCTTATTGTATTTTTTTCTTCCTTTCCAGTGTTCCAAGGTTTCTTTTCCATTTTGTTTCTATTTAAGAGTCTCCTTTAATCGTTCCTTTGGGGGAGAGCTGCTGGAGATAAATTCCCTTAGTTTTCCATCTTTGAGAATTTCTTGATTTTTTTTTTTTTTTAATATTCCAAAAAGATACTTTTACTGGATATAGAATTCTGGGTTAATACTTATTTTCTTCCAGCATTTGGAAAATACTGTGCCACTGTCTCTGGCTGCCATGGTTTCTCATGAGAAATCCTCTGTCATTCATGCTTTTTCCGTGTCATTAAAGTCTATTTTTCTTTGGCTGTTTTTGAGATATTTTGGTTTTGTTTGTGTGTTCAGAGTTTTAATTAGGATGTTAGGATGTGTCTTGGTGTGGATTTGTGTCTCTCCTATTTGTTTCTTTTATTTTTTTTTCAGTCTTGCCCTGTCGCCCAGGCTGGAGTGCTGTGCCATGATCACTGTAACCTCCACTTCCCATTACCCAGCTTCTTGAATCTGCGGGTTTATGTCTTTTTTTTTTTTTTTTTTTTTTTTTTTGAGGTGGAGTCTCACTCTGTCGCCCAGGCTGGAGGACCTGCAACCCTCCGCCTCCTGAGTAGTTGGGATTATAGGCATGTGCCACCATGCCTGGCTACTTTTTTTAGTAGAGGTGAAGCTTTTCCATGTTGGCCAGGCTGATCTCAAACTCCTGGCCTCAAGCAATCTGCCCGCCTCGGCCTCCCAAACTGTTGGGATCACAGGCGTGAACCACCATACCCAGCCAGCAGGTTTATGTCTTCTGCCAAATTTTCAGCCATTATTTCTTCAAGTGTGTTTTCGGTGCGCCCTCATTCCCCTCCTTCGGGGCACTGATGACGTAAGTGTTAGCTCTTTTGTTGTAGCCCCACATGTCCCAGAGGTTCTAGTTTTTTTCGTCTATTTTTTCTCTGTTCAGACTGGGTAATTTCTGTCTTTCTGCTAGATCACTCATTCTTCCCTCTGTCCCCTTCATTCTGTTCTCGAACCTATTTGCTGAGTTAATATTCCAGTTGTATTTTTCAGTTCTAAACTTTTATATATATATACATATTCTTTCTTTCTTAAACTTTGTTTAGACCACTTGTCTCATCTTTATTTTTTTTTTATTTTTTTTTAAAACGGAGTCTCGCTTTGTTGCCCAGGCTGGAGTGCAGTGGCATGATCTTGGCTCACTGCAACCTCCGCTTCCCGGGTTCAAGCGATTCTCCTGCCTCAGCCTCCTGAGTAGCTGGGATTACAGGCATGCACCACCACGCCCAGCTAATTTTTGTATTTTTAGTAGAGACGGGGTTTCGCCGTGTTGGTCAGGCTGGTCTCAAACTCCTGACCTTGTGATCCACCCACCTCAGCCTCCCAAAGTGCTGGGATTACAGGCGTGAGCCACCACGCCCGGCCCCTTGTCTCTTCTTTAGATCTCTTATTTCTTGCTGAGGCTTCCCGGCTTTCATTTGTTTCAATCGTTTGTCATTGCTCGTTGAAGCATTTTTATGATGGTTGCTTTAAAATCTTGGGCAGATAATTCTAACAACTCTGTCATGTCATCATCTTGATGTTGGCATAGGTGGGTTGTCTTTTTTCACTCCTCCATTTCTTTCGCGCCCGTCTCCCTCTACAGTAGTTCCTCTACTGGTTCATGGATGAGTGATTTTTTCTTTTTTTTTTTTTTTTTTTTTTTTTTTGAGACGGAGTCTCGCTCTGCGCCAGCCAGCTGGAGTGCAGTGGCCCCCCGCCTGTTGACAGCTCTTCCTGTGCCAGCTCCGCCGCTCCCCGCCTTCCCCATCGCATGCTTCTATTCGCTCCCACTCCAATCCTGCTCAGCCTCCCGAGTAGCTGGGACTAACGGCGCCCGCCATCCTCGCGGCCGGACTAGTTTCTTCTGTCTACGTTCCCTCCTTTCAGTCTCACGTTCCACGACTCCTCGCGTCTTCCTGGTCTTTGTCTCCCTGCGCTCTTCTCACCTGTGTTCCAAGGATGGTCTTGATCTCCTGACCCTCCTGCCTCCTCTTTGCACCCGTCTCCCATACCTACCGTTATCCCCATACGCCCTCCTCATTTCGCACGTCTCCCCCGTCTCGGCCTCCCAAAGTGCTGGATTACAGTGCTTGAGCACCCGCGCCACGTGGCCAATGAGCTGATTTTTCAAAAAATTGAAAAACCGGTAGATTTTTGTATTATGGGTGATGAGATTTCATTGTCTTCTTTAACAGTGGTTTCCTGTTTTTACGGTTGGCTTTCTCTGCTGACACACTCTGGCAAGAGAGTGAGTGACTGCAGGTAGAGATAAAAGTTCAGGTTCCCCATGATGTCTATCACCTGGGGCAGTGAAGGTCCAGGCTTCCCACTTTGCTGCCTCTGATACCCTCCTAGCAGGGAGGGGAGGAATTTCTCATTACTGGAAGGTGGGGGTGGAAGTCTAGGTTCTCCCACCAGTGGTTCTCCCACCCAGAGGTGGGTTATGGACTTGTGACCAACCAGCAGAGGTGGCAGTCTCAGTTCCCTCCTTGGCCTCTCTGATACCACCAGACAGAAGGATTTGGGTGCCTTGCTACAGCTTCGCAAGGATGGGAGCCTAGACTCCCACTAGGCCTTTGACGGGGTGGATATGGATGTTCTTGGTGGTGTCGGCTAGAGTAGATGGGCTATTGCCTAAAAGCTTTCTGTCTTGGGAGGCTGCTCCTTCCCAGTCCTTTGACTAGACAGAGCAGCTTTTGTGGGGTTTTTTTGTTTTGTTTCATTTTTTTGTCTGCACCTGTTGGTGTTTCTAGGTTGCTGGCTTTTCAGCTCCAAGTCTGGCATGTATGAGCCAGAAGGAAAACTCAAGGAACGCTGTGTTGTTCTTCATGTCCCAGAGTCCCTAACTGCTCTGCCTTCACCTCTACCTTTCGGAGTCTTACTTTGTTTTTTTTGTTTGTATGTTTTTGAGGCAGAGTCTCGCTCGGTTGCCCAGGCTGGATTGCAGTGGCACAATCTTGGCTCACTGCTACCTCCACCTCCTGGGTTCAGGCAGTTCTCCTCAGCCTCCCAAGTAGCTAGGATTACAGGCATGTGCCACCACGCTCGGCTAATTTTTGTGTTTTAAGTAGAGGCGGGCTTTTACCATGTTCGCCGGGCTGGTCTTTAACTCCTGACCTCATGTGATCTGCCTGCCTCTGTCTCCCAAAGTGCTGGGATTACAGGCGTGAGCCACTGCGCCCAGCCTTACTTTGTTTGATCTATGATGTCGAAGGGTTTTCGATATATTTAATGAATGTATGGGGAAAAATATATCTACTCCCTCTTCTGAGAAGCAGGAGTCTCGGGACCATGGATTTCTAAACCTACCACGTTATTCCATGCCTTTGTTTTGAAGATTAAATGAGGTTGTGCCTGTAACATTAGAGTAGTTCCTAACGCATGGTAGAATATAAGAAATGTTAGCTCTCGTCCTTCCTGATGTGGAAGCTGGTACAGAGTGGGTGTGAGCTTACCTTAGATCCCATAGTGCTGTATTCATCCAGCTAGGGTGGATGAACACAGTTTTGCCTGGAGCAGGTGCTTAGGAACCCCCCACTCTTTTTGCTCACAGTGTCTGGAGAGCTGGGAGCCAGAAGGGGTCACAGTCATCCCTTGCCTCCATGCTTCTTTTCTGTAGGAACAGGCTGTGCTCGGGGCACTGGTGTGTGACCATGTTCTCTCTCAGGGGTCTGGGCCTACTGACTTCTGCCAAATTGGAACCTTCTCAGGCTGTGGGGAAAAATTCCTAGTGCATTTGCCCCACCTTTTGTTCTCTTTGTCCCTGTATCAGGAGATAGTGGAGGAAACCATGCGGAGGAGGCAGCGGCGAGAGTGGGAGGCCCGCAGGTGAGTCTGCGCTTCTAGCTGCTCCCAGCACCAGGAGCCCACTTGCCTGGTGCTCTGTGGTGCCACCCATACCTCTGACTTTCTGTCTCAGGATAATTCATTCAGTTTAGAACCTTTGGGCAGTGGTTCTGAGAGTGAACCTGTGGCCGCTGCATTGGAGAAGAGCTCCAGGCTGTTCCCCGGTCCTATGAGTGACAGGACAGCCCCAGGGTCTCCCAGGTACCTGCCATCCATTAGAGACCATGGCCTCGGCTCTTTATTTTTATTGAGTTTTTCCAGTGTAGATACTTTGATTTACAAATTATTTATAAGAAGTGCTCAAAAATTAAAATATTGGAAAGGTTATTCTAGCTTGAAGTGAGCATGCAGCAGTGTCCTTGAGGTGGGTCCTGGGGGAAGCCCTTGCTGGATCTGTCATGGAAGGTTTTCCAGGCCATCCAGCTGATATTCCCCCTGTTTCAGCTGAGGGCATGCACTCCTGCCACTGCCACAGGAGGAAGGCTGCCCCCTCGGATAAGGACAATGTAGGACAGGTGTGGTGGCTCACGCCTGTATTCCCAACACTTTGGGAGGCCCAGGCAGGAGAACCCAGGAGAGTTCGAGGCTGCAGTGAACTATGATTGTGCCATTGCACTCCAGCCTGGGTGACAGAGCAAGACCTTGTCTCTACAAACAAACCAAAAAAGGATAATATAAAACCATTTCAGGAAGCATAAGGAAAGAAAAGTGAAAATAATCCATAATCACACTTTCTAATTCAAAGAGATTCTGGGTTTGGATTTCTATTCTTGGGTTATACATACTTGTGCATATTTTACATGATATACATCTGATTTTGCATCTTTCTACTTAATATAGCCATTTAAAATAGTTCTGAATAGGCTTTCTAAACAGCATAGGACTTAATTGGCAATTTCCCTTTTTGAAATGTAGGTTACTTCCAGTATTTTGCCATTATAAATAAGGCTTCAGTGAATTACTTTGTGCACACAGCAAGTTTTGTCTTGCTTTTTCGTTTGAATTGTAATTATGGGACAATTTCTCTGAATTGGAATTCTGGAACTATACCACTTTACATCATACATTGCCACTGGCAGTTTGTGTTAATTTCCCAATGTTACACATATACATTCTGCTAGAGTCAATAAGTGGCCAGATGTGGTGGCTCATGCCTATAATCCCAATACTTTGGGAAGCCAAGGTGGGGGTATTGCTTGAGCCCAGGAGTTTGAGACCGACCTGGACAACATAGTGAGACTTTGTCTCTATTAAAAAAAATTTTTTTTTAAATTAGCTGGGTGTAGTGGCACATGCCTGTAACCCCATCTACTTAGGAACTTAGGAGGCTGAGTTAGGAGGATCACTTGAGCCTAGGATGTCGGGGCTGCAGTGAGCTGTGATCACACCACTGCAATTCAGCCTGGGAGACAGAGCAAGAACCTGTCTCAATGAAAAAGAAAAAACTAAGTCAATATGTGAAAACAAATAGTACCATGATTTAATTTGCATTTCATTGAATACTGTCAAGTTTAGCATTTTTCCAAAATATTTGGCTTCCTGTACTGCTGCTTCTTGTTGAAGACCTGCATTTTATGTCATTACAGAAGAGACATCCTCTTTGACTACGAACAGTATGAATATCATGGGACATCGGTAAGTACTAATAGGTGCAACTCACTATAAAGTTCTGACTCCAGGGGTCAGTGTCCTCAAATGTGAAGAAGAAACACAGATTTTAGAGCCATAAAAGCCTGGTTTGAATCTGAGCTCCATGCCTTCCCCGTGTGACCTTGGGCAGCTGTTGCAAGCTCTCTGAGCCTTAAACGCCTCCTCCTCTGTAAAGAGAATAATCCTCATTTCAGAGGTAATTATTAAGATGATTGTTTGCACCCAATAGGTGATCAAAGAAGAGCAGCGTTTATTTTTGCTTATCATCAAAAATACAGAATGAGTTTGTACCAGTCTCTGTGCGAGAAGATAAAACGCTATAGACTTCTAACAGTACATCAGTGTGTATCTTTTATAAAACAGAATTTAGTATGGAAAACCTACTATATTGATAGTGTTGAGCAGAGCTCAAGGCCTTAAGGAGCCCTAAAAAATCAGTTTCAATAAAACATCCTGTATTTAGTGTTAGAATTTAATGCTGGGACTTTGAACTCTGACACCGTATTTCCAGTGTCCCTTCTATTGTCAAGGTTCCATTGTCCTTTGAAGGATCATCCTTTGCTGTCTCTGCTCAGTCCTTGCACATGGAAAATTCTAAGCAGTTGGTGGGGAGGGTGTTGATGCTAGCTTAGAGAAAATACCTCCCTCCAGATACATGGGGCAAATTCCCTTGGAAATTCTCTCCCTGGAGGAAGCCCACGTCTCACGACAAAGGGGATCTTAGGGTCTTCTGGTCAGACACCAGTCTTCCTCGAGGTCTTACCAAATAGAGACCCTCTGCTTATGGGAGTTAAATGCTCCGATGTGGACAGCCCTGCTGGAAAGACCCTCCTCACAAGAGGTCCTGAGGCCCCTCCCTCTTTAATATTCAAATAATTGGACCCAGGGCTCTGCCTGACCTAGCCTTTCTGGGAATGTGTTTGAGGACGCCAGCCAAGCAGGAGGAGTGTGCGGACGCAGAGCCAGGCAAACGATGGGATCTTCTGACTTTCAGGATTCAGTGCCTGCCTCAGGCATCACTGAGGAACCCAGGGAGATGCAAAGAGGCCCTAGCCAGTGCTATACCTGAGCTGCCCCTACAAAGTGAAGTCTACCCTTGCTACAGGATAAAATACACAGACAGTAATGATTTTAGCTAGCAAAGGAGTTACTTTCAGTCCTCTTCTTCTCAGTTTAGCGTGTACTCATCCCACATGTCGGGCTGGAATCCACCCACATTCCCTGGCCAGGCAGACCCTCCATCCGCAGGCGTTTGCCAGGGCCCTTCTGGCTCAGGTCCAGCCTGGCCTCATGGCCCAGCCCCAGCACACGCCCCTCCCATGAGCCTTAGACTTCTCTGCTTCCTTGCAGTCAGCCATGGTGATGTTTGAGCTGGCATGGATGCTGTCCAAGGACCTGAATGACATGCTGTGGTACGTAGCCCCTGCGGCAGCTGTGTGAGAGTGTTTGTTGCCTTGGTCAGTGCCACATAAGCAGCTCTGTCCTCCCACAGGGAGGGCACTTCCTCTATCCCCACCAGGAGTGTCAGACACAGCCCCTTTCTGGGAATGTGTGTGATTCTGGTCTTCCTAACTGTGAAGCTCTGGGAGCTTCACACAAACATGGGACTTGGAGTGTCGGAGAATGCAGAGGAAGAGGATACAGTACAGCTTCACCCTCCCCATTCCTGCTGCTCAGCCTGTGCTCAGTAAATTCAGGTGACAGGAGGAGTGTGAGGTTTGAAGGAGGCAGCCTTTGCAGTGGCTCACATCCTAATCTTACATCCATAATCCCAGTACTTTGGGAGGTCAAGACAGGAGCATCACTTGAGTGCAGAAGTTTGAGACTATCCTGGGCAATGAAGTGAAACCCTGTCTCAAAAAAAGAAAAAACTGTCCGGGCGTGGTGGCTCACCCCTCTAATCCCAACACTTTGGAAGGCCAAGGCAGGTGGATCACCTGAGGTCAGGAATTCGAGACCAGCCTGGCCAATATGGTAAAACCCTGTCTCTACCAAAAATAAAAGAAAAAAAAAAATTAGCCGGGCGTGGTGGTGGATGCCCATAATCTCAGCTACTCAGGCGGCTGAAGTAGGAGAATCACTTGAATCCAGAAAGCAGAGGTTGTAGTGAGCTGAGACTGGGCCATTACACTCCAGCCTGGGCAACAAGAATGAAACTGTCTCAAAAATTAGCTGAGTGTGGTAGTGTGTACCTGTAGTCCAAGCTGCTCAGGAGGCTGAGGCAGGAAGATTGCCTGAACCCAGAAGTTCAAGGCTGCAATAAGCTACAACTGTGTCACTGTAGTCCAGCCTGGGTGACAAAGTGAGATGCTGTCTCTAAAAAAGGAGGCAGCTCTTGCTAGGCATCCTTGCAGCCCCGGCACACGGTGGCAAAATTTGATGTAGGAAGAACCATCCCTCCTCTGAGTCCACTATGCGGGCTGCATCTGGCATGACTGAGCACAGTGGGGCCCAGTCACTCTTGCCGTGGGCTGGCCGTCATGCTGGGGAAGCCAGGCCTTGCCTGGGTCTCATAGGTAAAAGATGAGCCTAAAGACAAGAGCCTTGAAGCTCACCAGAGGCCTAAACACTGCTACTCTACATCCTGCTACTTTAAGCTGTAGGATGAGTAGATGTGAACACAACTAGGGTCCCCTGTGCTGGGGGCAGGTGACATGAGGGACTCAGAGAGATGAAGTGATACCAGGGTCACCAACAACTCAGCACAGGCCTCTGCCATGGTCCTACATCAACTCCACTCTGAGTGTCGGGGTCAGGAGCGCAGGACAAGAGCAGAGCATGGCCTGGGAGTGGACAGGAGTGCTGACTCCTGTTACAGCTGCCATGACTGCCCTGGGAGGTTTTCCTCCTCTGAGTACTTAAAGCTCCCACAGTGGCAGACACTGCACTGCGAGGCCCCAGTTACCCGTCTAACCTCTTCACCTCAAGGAGAGAGGCCACCTGACTGAGGCAAGCCAGGGTCTGGCCCCACTGGCAGGACATTCCCCAGAGTGCTGAGCTTGGGCCCGTTCCATCATCTTACTCCATCCCCCAGGCCTCATGGAGTCCAGGTGGGCTATAGGCCGTCTCCACTGCCTTCTCTTCCTCCAGGTGGGCCATCGTTGGACTAACGGACCAGTGGGTGCAAGACAAGATCACTCAGTAAGGACACACTCCCTTGCCTTGCAGGGTCAGCCCTGTGCTGTGGCCAGGTGCACAGCCTGACCATAGCCACTAAGTTTTTAGCAGGGTCTCTGTAGGGTCCTATTGAGAAGTGAGGACTGGTCCTCCTCCTTGGGCCCAGGCATTTGTCACTGAGGAAGGGCTAACTAAGTACCAACCAAGTGACCGTGGCCTTGTGTGGCCTCTTCATCTTGCAGGTAGAGCCAGCCTCCCCAGTTCTCTCGCAGTGCCCTGCTTGTGCTCGGTGCTATGGGCAGGGCCAGGCTTAGAGGCAGGTGCTAAGGTGTGGCCCTTGCAGTAGGTTGGGGTTGGGGGAAGACAACACAGGAGCAGGTTGCGGGCGGGATGAGAAACCCTAGTGAAGACCCTGAGTATCTTGCCAAGGATAGGGGTTTGACCCCAAAGGTAAGGGGAAGGCTCCAGAGGATTTTAAGGGGTCTGGTGTGAAGCAGAACCCCTTTTTGCCCTCAGTGGTGGGCTCCCCATCTGATAGACTGACGGTGAGCTGCAAGGCTGCCTCAGAATGCAGATGTTGTGGGGTGAAGTGGGGGTTGGCTGCTTCTTTCATCCCCGCTAATGCACGAAGTGGGCCATCCTTCTCTAGGGGCCATCAGGCAAAACCTCTTAGGGATTGGCATGGACCTAGACCCCAACATGCTGGCCCTCTCCTAGGGGACCCATGTAGATATCCCCAAGCTGTCACCTGGCACAGCCCTAGGCACAGCCTCCAGTTGGGCGCTGGTCTCCTCATGCAGTTTGAATAGGCCCCATGCCACTATTTCCTGCCTCCCCAGCCCTGCCCCTGTCTGGGTCCTGCAATGAGGCCCACAAGGCAGGAGAAGCCTAAGTTTCAGGCCTGGGGCTGCTGCTTGGACAGGTCACCTTGGCACAGCCCACTGCCTTGTTGGGCCTCAGTCCCCTCCTGTGTTAAGAGTAGCATGGAATCTGTGCACAGATAATGTAGGGGCTAGAAACACCATGGTGCATGCACTGATAGGCACTGTTCCTGGTCTGTAGCAGTCTGTCAGGTGAGGCCCCACGGTCACTGTCCTGGTTGGTGGCCCTTTGGAACCTAGAGTGGCGTCTTCCTGCTCTCATTGTGCTCAGTGGCACTTCCTGTACAGGATCTGTACCTGAAACTGTCCCTATAAACTTTACGAAATTAATGAGGGCAGGGGGAAGGGAGAACTGAAAATGCTTCCTTCTCCTTACTCAGTGCCCTGCAATCATGAAACTCTTCCTCTGCTGCAAACTCTGCTATCTCAGTGTAACAGGTCTGTTACTGCACAGCGGACATATGGACCTCCTGGTCCTATAACACATTTTGGAGGCCGAGCGCGGCGGCTCACCCCTGTAATCCCAGCACTTTGGGAGGCAGAGGTGAGTGGATCACCTGAGGTCAGGAGTTCGAGACCAGACTGGCCAACATGGTGAAACACCGTCTCTACTAAAAATAGAAAAATTAGCTGGGCATGATGGCACATACCTGTATTGCAGTCCCAGCTACTCAGGAGGGTGAGGCAGAAGAATCGCTTGAACCCAGGAAGCGGAGGCTACAGTGAGCCAAAATCGTGCCACTGCACTCCAGCCTGGGCAACAGAACAAGACTCCGTCTCAAAAAAAACCAAACCAAAACAAACAAAAAATTTTGGAGCGCCTACCTGAAGCCCCTTATGGGTATTTGCCGTGGCTAGGTTCCCCTTCACTGTTCGGTGGGCAGGACCCAGAGACAGCCCAAGGGGCCACTGGGCTCCATTGAAATATGGGCTGTCGGCCGGGCGCGGTGGCTCAAGCCTGTAATCCCAGCACTTTGGGAGGCCGAGACGGGCGGATCACGAGGTCAGGAGATCGAGACCGTCCTGGCTGACACGGTGAAACCCCGTCTCTACTAAAAAATACAAAAAACTAGCCGGGCAAGGTGGTGGGCACCTGTAGTCCCAGCTACTCGGGAGGCTGAGGCCGGAGAATGGCGTGAACCCGGGAGGCGGAGCTTGCAGTGAGCTGAGATCCGGCCACTGCACTCCAGCCTGGGCGACAGAGTGAGACTCCGTCTCAAAAAAAAAAAAAGAAATATGGGCTGTCACTGGTGCCCTGCCTGTTGACGGGGCAGTGTCAACCTTTGATGCATAAACTGCTCGCAGCAAAGAAGTTTCTGGTTTTGAAAGGCATTTTAGGAAAGTTTTCTCCATGCAACCGGCACCCCCTTTCTCTTCTGATTTGCTGGCCTCCTTGGAGATCTTGTGGCCTCCTCGGAATCTTGTGGCATATTATAACCCTTTCTTAATTGGAAATGACCCAGACACCCAACAAGCATCTAAAATAATTTTAGGATTTTAAGCTACATAGAAAGTTTGCCTACAAGCTTTCATAACAATTTACATTTCCTGCATTTTTAAGTTTGCCTAGATTACTTATGAAAACTGAGATACTAGACAAAACTAGTCATCATTTCAAATTATTGTTAACCTTTTTCTTTTTTTGAAATGAGATCTGTCTCACAGGCTGGAGTGCGTTGGCATAAACAACTCACTGCAGCCTTGACCTCCTGGGATCAAGCAATCCCACCACCTTAGCCTCCCATGTAGCTGGGACTACAGGCGTGTGTCACGATGCCTGGCTAATTTTTTTTATTTTTTTGTAGAGATGGGGTCTTACTTTGTTGCCGAGGCTGGTCTTAAACTCCTAGGCTCAAGCAGTCCTCCCTCAGCTTCCCAAAGTGTTGGGATGACAGATGTGAGTTGCCATGCCTGGCCTTAATCATTTTAATAACCTGTGACCATCAGATGTTCACCTAAGAACCTTAAAGTTAAATGCATATGTATTTTTGCTGACAACTCAGAAGATTCAGCTGTTATCATTAAACCAACAATATTAATCTTATTTGTCAAAAAATCATACAAAGATCATTCTGGTTTTGGTTAAGTTTATAGTCTTATAACCTTTTATGCAAAGTCCTGACACCCTAAATATCCAGTAGAGACAAATATAAAATCGTTCGGTCAATAAACTCAGAAAAAAGATGTATGCTGATAGTTTTGAAGACATTTCTATTTTTATTTTACTAATGATTGTAAAGCCAGCTTATTTACTAAAGATCATTTAAGTCACATGAACTTGAAAAATGTTTGAACTTATTTACTTTGTTTATGAGCACTCATTTATTTATAAGCCAGTTTGGTGCCGTGTAGACACAACATATAACACAACACATGTACATACATCTAAATTTATTTTAACCCACATACACACACATACAAAGGTTCAGCTTTTACTGCAGAACTCTAGCCATGAGACAGCTCACCAGTTTATAAAAGAGGGTGGATCGAAATTATTTCTGACAAAATTGGAACTATTCACATAAATAAACTTTGTTTATCCCAATAGGTAATTCAATGAAGGCTGTGAACTAAAATTTTGAATAAAGCAGTTTCTATAGCAGTTTGATTTTAAAACTTACCCTTTCTTCTTTTTTCTACTTTCAAGTTTTCAGTGATTACATTTTAGCTACAACTGGCTGAGCTGTATAAGCAAAACAAAATCTCCAAGTAGCTCTGAATTAGTAATACCATAAACAGTGAGTCTTATCTCAATACCAGTAGCTTAATAACACCAGATTCAAAGCAGGCAGAAAAGAGACTGGGGTGATGGCTCATGCCTGTAATCCCAGCACTTTGTTGGGGGTAGGAGGATTGCAGGAATCCAGCCTAGGTAACATAGAACCCCTCTCTACAAAAATAAAAAAAAAAATCAACTGGGCATGGTGGTGCACACCTGTGGTCCCAGCTACTTGGGAGGCTGAAGTGGGAAGATTACTTGAGCCTGGGAGGTCAAAGCTGCAGTGAGCTGTGATTGTGCCACTGTCCTCCAGCCTGGGAAACAGAGTGAGACCCTGTTTTAAAAAAAGAAAGCAGACAGAAACTTTCCTCATAGTTTTTCCACAGGAATTCCTTCTTTCTTTTTTTTTTTTTTTTTTTTTTGAGACGGAGTCTCGCTCTGTCGCCCAGGCTGGAGCGCAGTGGCCGGATCTCAGCTCACTGCAAGCTCCGCCTCCCGGGTTTACGCCATTCTCCTGCCTCAGCCTCCTGAGTAGCTGGGACTACAGGCGCCCACCACCTTGCCCGGCTAGTTTTTTGTATTTTTTAGTAGAGACGGGGTTTCACCATGTTAGCCAGGATGGTCTCGATTTCCTGACCTCGTGATCCGCCCGTCTCGGCCTCCCAAAGTGCTGGGATTACAGGCTTGAGCCACCGCGCCCGACCTGGAATTCCTTCTTTTAGTGGGTAAGTTATATATTGCACTAACCTGATGAAGACATATATCTCTTGTCTTCCCAGTTTTACAAGATGCAGTCCAGTGCCCAGCTTGGAGTAACCAAATTAATATTTCTCATTCCAGCTGAGACGATATACACCCAACAAAAATGCAGACACTAATCACTCCATTCCGCACCCAGATTTGATGTGGCGAGGCTCACACTTGCCCTTGTCAGCCCTCAGCACCTTTGATCTACTCAAAGTTGGGAGGAATTACCTCCAACCAGGAGTTCAGCGGGTGGTCTCTGGGTAAGATGAAAAAGCATATGATCAACCTGAGTTAGGCCTGCTGAGCTTCTGCCATTAATTCCTTCAGGGATCCCTTTCATAAACATAAACATTCATAACAAGGCAAAGACAAAAGGCCTTCCGAAATCAAGTTACAAATTTTAGAAGTCAAGAGGATTTCTCCCAAGCAGTTCTTTTTGGTCTCCTTCCAATGTAGAGGAAGTCCCCTCAAACAAGGCCCTTCCTATTACTAGGGAGGGTCTACAAGACCTCAGAGGAGGCCTCAAGACTTCAGAGGGAGCCACAAGACCTCCAAAGGGGCCAGCAAATCAGAGGAGAAAGGGGTGCTGGTTGCATCGAGAAAACTTACCTAAGATGCCTTTCAAAACCAGAAACTTGCTTTGCTGCGAGCAGTCTACACACCAAAGGCCTGACGTTGCCATGTCAACAGGCAGGGCACCGGCAGCACCCATAGTTCAGTGGAACCCAGGGGCCACTTGGGCTTTGGACTTGTCTCTGGGTCCTTCCCACTGAACAGCAAAGGGGCACCGAGCCACAGGCAAATGCCCACAAGGGGCTCCAGGCTAGGCTCACCATAATGTGTTATAGGACCAGCAGGTTTGTATGCCTGCTGTGCAGTAACAGACTTGTTAAACTGAGACAGCAGAGTTTGCAGCAGAGGAAGAGCTTCATGATTGCAGGGCACTGAGTGAGGAGATGGGAGGAGACCCTCAAATCCATCTCTTTGAGGAGTTCTGGGCTGGGTCTTTTTTTGTTTGTTTGTTTTTGAGACAGAGTTTCGCTCTTGTTGCCCAGGCTGGAGTGCAATGGTGCGATCTTGGCTCACTGCAGCCTCTGCCTCCCAGATTCAAGCGATTCTCCTGCCTCACCCTTCCGAGTAGCTGGGATTACCAGCATGCACCACCACGCCAGGCTAATTTTGTATTTGTAGTAGAGACGGGGGTTTCTCCATGTTGGTCAGGCTGGTCTCAAACTCCTGACCTCAGGTGATCCACCCACCTCGGCCTCCCAAAGTGCTGGGATTACAGGTATGAGCCACCTCGCCCAGCCTGGGCTGGGGTTTTTAAGGGGACTGTGGAGGGTGAGGGGCTGGAAAATTGGGATAGTTGATTGGTGGGGGAAGGGGGATGAAATCATCAGGGTGTACAAACCACTCGGGTGAGTCAGCTCCTCATGGGGTCCTTCGGAGCAGTTGAGTCAGTAGCTCCATCAGTATACGGGACCCACAGGAATATCTCAGAGGGAAAACAGCATTTCCTAAGGTTCAAGTTGTGATCTACGGGGCAGTGAGGGGAACTACAATCTTGTGATGGGGTCTACATGCTTCTGAGGCAATAGACACCAAGCAACTATGAGGAAGCAGTCAGAGAGCACGCTGACCTAGTGACTGATGCTGACGTGCTGCGAGCTGGGTTCATTTTCATTTCTCCCATCCCCCTCCCCTCATTAATTTTGTAAAGTTTGTAGGGAACATTTCACCCACTCTGCTGTGGATCCCTGTCACTTACGGAGTCTATTATCTTGGCTGTGTGGGCTGTGGGCTCTGCAGTGTCCGTTCTCAGGAGGTGTGAGACCCATGAGGACAGGAGGTGGGCAAGGCTGGAGACCACACCCCCCCGCTCTGTCCAATCATGTTTTCCTGGCTGCTTGGTTTCTATGCAGGCTGCATGTCCTTAGTCTTTGCATAGAACAACTCCCGTGGTGAGCAGGCCCTTGAGGGAGTTCCTGAGCAGGAATGGAGCCTAGGCTCAGGCTGCCTGGTAAGATCTGGAGGGAACCAGCCGAGGCTTGTGCTACCTTTTCTTCCAGAATGAAATACGTGACTGATGTCGGTGTCCTGCAGCGCCACGTTTCCCGCCACAACCACCGGAACGAGGATGAGGAGAACACGCTCTCTGTGGACTGCACGCGGATCTCCTTTGAGTATGAGTATCCTTGTGGCCCAGCCTGAGGGGCACAGGCAGCACCCCTGCCTCCAGGGTTCTGCTCAGCGGGCCTTGTTTGCTTTGTCACCCTCTGTGGGTTCTGGCCCACATCCCCAGGAGGGAAAGCAGGTGGGGCAGGAAGTTTTGGGGGAAGGGGCTGTGGTGTGCTACCCCAGCTCATCTGTGTGGCTTTGGCTTCTAAATGCCAGAGCTGAGTTTGGAAGTGTCACCCTTCTCCAGCACGTCCCTGTAAAGTGCTTATTGTGGGCCTGGTTCTGGATGTGGTAGCAGTGAGGGTGGCGGTTCATGCAGTCAGGAAAGAAGAAGGGAGCTACCATGTAATCACACAGTATGATGTTTCTTTGAGAAACACATGGGACATTGGTGGAGTGCCCAGGAAAGACCATGGGGAGGCCACATCTCACACAGTCTCAGCCACACTCAGTGTGAGCACAGGAGGAACTGGGGGACTGACTGGGGTCAGGTGTCAGGAGGCCAGAGCAGGCCTTGTGAGCCAAGGGCAGCAGGAGACTGTGGAGTGACCAGAGTTTGAGTCAGGGTTTTTAAAAGGTCCCTTGGCTGCCCAGTAGAGGTAGGTTGGGGGCGAGGAGATGGTCACAGCTCTCCAAGGCCACACAATAGTGGCTCGGCCCAGACTGCAGCAGTGGCTGTGAGCAGTCAGGTTACATGATATCGGGGACGGAGCTGCCCTGTCTCTGCACTGTGATGGCTGGGAAGGAGGAAGAGTGAGTGTGGGCACATCAGTAGTCAGGTGGCCATCAGAGCCTAGGAAGCAGGGCAGAGCTGGCTGAACTGGGGAGGAGAGCCGCTGTGCATAGGAGCCGGTCCCATCTTGTGTGTGGCAAGGTGGACTACTTACCCAGGGACCATGGGAGTGTGTGACTGAGGCAGGAGGGAGGGAGTCAGGGAGCTGAGGACGCCAGGGCTTCAGGAAGCTGCTGGAATGTGGGCAGGGAGCATGGTGGTCTGAAGTCCTGGGAGTCCCCAGGAGTTGGGAGGGGCAATTGTGGGTACTGAGCATGCTGAGGAAGCAGGCAGGACCAGGCTGTCGTCCTGTAAAGGGGAGGTCCACCGTCGGGGGCAGTCCACACTCACAGCTGCGCTCACAGTGCCAGGAGCTGTGATGGGTATGTTTAAGAAAAGGGCTGAGGAGGTCGGGCGTGGTGGCTCACGCCTGTAATCCCAGCACTCTGGGAGGCCGAGGCGGGCGGATCACGAGATCAGGAGATCGAGACCATACTGGCTAGCACGGTGAAACCCTGTCTCTAGTAAAAAATACAAAAAATTAGCCGGGCATGGTGGCGGGCGCCTATAGTCCCAGCTACTCGGGAGGCTGAGGCAGGAGAATGTTCTGCGTGAACCCAGACAGCAGAGCTTGCAGTGAGCTGAGATCGTGCCACTGCACTCCAGCCTGGGTGACAGAGCAGGACTCTGTTTCAAAAAAAAGAAAAAAGGGTTGAGGATGGGGGAGCTTCGTGAGGGCTGGGCTCGGTGGAGCAGGAGGTGCAGGATGACAAGCTGGTCAGCCCAGCCTCCCATGTCATGTGTGGTCATGACTGCTCCGTGTGACCACAGCACACGGACTCTGCAGACCCCTGTGCTCCAGATATTCTGCCTGTCAGACAGGGATGGTGGTCTGTGCCTGTCATTTCACAGGCTCTCCATATGGGCCAACTTAAGCTAAGAAGGTCAAAGGGCTCCAAGTCGCCCTTGGGATACCTGGTCGTGCAGGCAGGCCCGGCAAGGAAGGGCCCCGCCATCAGAGTGGCCCACCTGCTGGAGTTACGAGGGTGGGGCTGTGTGCTCAGGGCAGCCAGTGGGTGCTTGCATGCTCCTTGACAGCAGGCCCAGCCTCCGCCTGGCGCTCTACCAGCACTGGTCCCTCCATGACAGCCTGTGCAACACCAGCTATACCGCAGCCAGGTTCAAGCTGTGGTCTGTGCATGGACAGAAACGGCTCCAGGAGTTCCTCGCAGACATGGGGTGAGTGACTGCCTGGGCCTGCAGTGCCAGCCCTGGCCACCCCCAAGGGAAAAGCCCCTCTGCTTTGTTGTAACCAACTTAGTTATAAAATGCAGCCTGTCCTGCCATAAGCTCCTCGCCCTAGATCCCAGAATATCCTCCGAATGCCGGTGCGGGGACATCCTTGCTTGCCCTTGGTTTGGGTTTCTTTCCACCCTGTCGGTGTGTGGTGACCTTGCTCATGTGGCTTGGGCTTGTTCTTTCCAGTCTTCCCCTGAAGCAGGTGAAGCAGAAGTTCCAGGCCATGGACATCTCCTTGAAGGAGAATTTGCGGGAAATGATTGAAGAGTCTGCAAATAAATTTGGGTAAACACACATTTTTCTGGATTGAGCTTCTTTAAAGTGAAAAGTTCTACTTTAACTGTGCTCCTAAAATAATGCAAAAAAAAAAAACAACCCAAGAATGTACAATTAGTGTTATGCGAGTCTGGCCATTCCTGAAGTCTTGAGTTCTTTTTGGGTTAAAAATAGGACTTTTTCTGGCCGGGCGCGGTGGCTCAAGCCTGTAATCCCAGCACTTTGGGAGGCCGAGACGGGCGGATCACGAGGTCAGGAGATCGAGACCATCCTGGCTAACACGGTGAAACCCCGTCTCTACTAAAAATACAAGAAAATTAGCCGGGCGAGGTGGTGGGCGCCTGTAGTCCCAGCTACTCGGGAGGCTGAGGCAGGAGAATGGCGTGAACCCGGGGGGGCGGAGCTTGCAGTGAGCCGAGATCGCGCCACTGCACTCCAGCCTGGGGCACAGAGCAAGACTCCGTCTCAAAAAAAAAAAAAAAAAAAAAATAGGACTTTTTCAAGCTTGTGAGATTTAGGATCCTTGGATCCCGGGGCTGCTGTGGGACCTGTGAGATTGACCCCAGTCTGTTTCACTGGAGACAGCAAATGGGCCACAGAGCCAGGTTCAGGTGAACTCTGCCCGACCAAGTCCGTGGGCACTCCTGGAGGCCCCTGGCTTCTCCCACCCCAGCCAGCTGGCATGCTAGGGTGTAGGAGAGGACCCCACACACCCGTAAGCCAGCCAAACAGCTGTTGACGAGAAGGCATCTGGCCACTCTGGGCTGCAGGGCCGGTATGTCTGGATGTTCTGACCTGCCTCATCCTCTGAGCAGCACAGCTGTGCTGGAAGCATTGGCTCGGGCATGTGAGGGACATTAGCACATCTGTTGGCCTGCCTGGCACTGAGAGCTCGCCCACAATTTGAGGGTGACAGCTGTGTTTGCTCCTGTGACAGGATGAAGGACATGCGCGTGCAGACTTTCAGCATTCATTTTGGGTTCAAGCACAAGTTCCTGGCCAGCGATGTGGTCTTTGCCACCATGTCTTTGATGGAGAGCCCCGAGAGGGATGGCTCAGGGACAGATCACTTCATCCAGGCTCTGGACAGCCTCTCTAGGTAGGAGGGCTATGGGTTTGCCATTGCCTCATGGGGCCAACACTGGTTCTTATAGTGGCCAGGGAGGTCAGTTACGGGGACCCCAGGGCTATGGGAGTGACTGTGTCCTGCAGAAACTGCTTGTGTGAACTGGAATCACAATGCCAGCGTGGCATGTACCTGACATATTACCTGCCCCTCTTCAGTATTTGTCACTTTCTCTTGAATCCTTTTTGGCTCTTTTTTCTTTTTGATTTTTAAAATTTTCTTTTTTTACCTTTTGTATCTCTTAACAAAAGGCATTGTTTGTTGTGTATATTCATTCTTGTGTTTAATCTTACAGTTTAGTTGTCATTTCTCAATTTTTTAATTTTCCAATTCTTTCTTTCTTACTTCCTGAGATGTCCTGTATTTTTCCTTGTCTTTTTGCTTGTTTTGAAATAGAATGTGACAATTTGGATCTTTTTTTTAGCATATCTTTCTAGTGTCAGACTACAGACATCAGAGCAAAATATCTCCAAATACATTGAATTTATCTGGGAATTAGAAAAGAGGATTATAGTGTCTGTGATGCACAGCTGTGGTAACCCAAATATGCATCCAAAGACAGGAGGCTAAGGGGAAGCTTTTATTGGCAAAAGGAGAAGTTCACATAAGCTAGCTTGGAAACAATTCACTGGTTTCAGAGACTCAAAGCCAGAGTTGGCATCAGTTCGTTGGTGAAGATGCATTACTGGGCAAGTGTTGTATTTTAAGAGCATCTTATCTGAATTGTTGCAGTCCTAAAGAAGGGATTTCTTGTGGGGTTATTTAGAAAGTCTTTGAGTCTTTATTCCAGACATGCAAGCAGGAGCTCTCTTCCTTGGTGCTTTCTCAGCTTTAATTTGTTTGGGCCTGACAAAAAGTGATTTCATCCTGGGATCTGCAACTTTCACATTAGTGTGCTTTCATTGTCCAGGGAGGTGTTCCTGTTCCTTCTTCTCTTTTTTTCTAGTAGTGACTTTGAGGGGATTTGACTTTGCTACTTCTCTCATGCTCTTTATTTATAAATTTCATTTCCCTGACTTTTTAGGAGGAGGAGGCATGATTCGGACAGCTTTTCTGACTTCAAGAGCTGCCACTTCTGTTGCTTTTGTGCAGTGGTAAAGATGCATATGTATATATGGGGGCCTGCTTTCTGGGATTTCCTGGTTCTGCTCCCAAGCACACTTTTTTTTTCCCACAGATTTATTGAGATACAATTTGCATGCCATACAGTTCACCCATTTAACGTGTACAATGTGATGGCTTTTATTATTTATTTTTTACTTTTTTAGAGACAGGGTCTCGCTCTGTTGCCCAGGCTGGAGTGCAGCGGCATGCTCATAGCTCACAGCAGCCTCAAGCAATCCTCCTACCTCAGTCTCTTGAGTAGCTGGGACAACAGGTGCATGCCACCACACCTTGCTAATTTTTAAAATTTTTGTAGAGATACGATATCACTATGTTGCCCATACTGGTCTCAAATTCCTAGGCTCAAGCAATCCTTCCACCTCAGCCTCCCAAAGTGCTGGGATGAATAGGCATGAGCCACTGTGCCTAGCCTGCAATGACTTTTAGTAGGTTGCAGTTAGGTTTTGCAAGGTTGTGCACCAATTACCACTATTTAATTTTAGAGCATTTTCATTGCCCCAGAGAGATCCTCCCAGCCTCTGGCAACCACCAATCTCCCTTTTGTCTTTATGAATTGACTGTTCTGAGCATTTCATACAAATGGGATCATACAAGATGTGGTTCTTTGTGACGGGGGTCTTCACTTAGCATCATGTTTGCAAGGCTCATCTATATTGTAGGATGTATTGTGACTATATGTCTTCCTCCCCCTGCACCCGAGACAGAGTCTTACTCTGTTGCCCAGGCTATAGTCTAGTGGCATGTTCTCGGCTCACTGCAACCTCTGCCTCCTGGGTTCAAGCAATTCTCCTGCCTCAGCCTCCCGAGTGGCTGGGATTACAGGCACATGCCACCAAGCCCGGCTAATTTTTGTAGTTTTAGTAGAGACGGGGTTTCACCATGTTGGCCAGGCTGGTCTCAAACTCCTGACCTTGTGATCCGCCTGCCTTGGCCTCCCAAAGTGCTGGGATTACAGGCATGAGCCACCGCGCCCAGCCAATATCTTTTTATTGTAAATAATATTCCATTGGATGGATATATTCTATTTCATTTATAAGTTCATCAGTTGATGGGCATGTGGTTTGTTTCCACCTGTTGACTATTGTAACTAATGCTTCTGTGAACCTAGATGTACAAGTTTTTGTGTAGTCATGTCTTTGTTTCTTTTGGTTATATACCTGCAAGTGGAAATACTGGGTGACATGGTAACACTAGGTTTAACCTTTTGGGGAACTGCCAGACTGTTTTCCACAGCAGCTGCACCATTTTACATTCCCACCAGGTGGGAGGGTTTCAGTTTCTTCACATCCTCACCGACACTTGTTTTTGTCCATCTTTTGGATTACAGCCATCCCAGTGAGTATGAAGTGGTATCTCATGGTTTTGATTTGCATTTTCTTGATGACTAATAGTGTTGAGCATCTTCTCGTGTGCTTATTGGTCATTCGTGTATCTTGTTAGGAGAATTGTCTATTCGAGTCCTTTGTCTTTTTTTTTTTTTTTTTTTTTTTTTTTGAGACAGGGTATCACTCTGTTGCTCAAACTGGAATGCAGTGGTGCAATCATGGCTCACTGCAGCCTCAAACTCCTTGGCTCAAGCCATCCTCCCACCTCAGCCTCCTGAGTAGCTGGGATTAGAGGCATGAGCTTCCACACCTGCTAATTTTTAAATGTTTAGTAGAGATGAGGTCTTACCATGTTGCCCAGGCTGGTCTCAAACTCCTGGGCTCAAGCAGTCTTCTGGCCTTGGCCTCCCAAAGAACTGGGATTATAGGTATAAACCATCGTGCCCAGCCTAAAATTTTTATATATCCTACATGCAAATCCCTTATCAGATAAGTAATTTGCAAGTATTTTCTCCCATTCTGTAGGCTGGCTTTTCACTTTGTCAGTGTCCTAGGAAATATAAAATTTGTTAATTTTGATGACATTTAAGTGATCTGCTTTTTCCTTTGTTTCTTGCGCTTTTGGTGTCATAGCTAAGAAACCATTGCCTAACCCAAGGTCATGAAGGCTAATTTTTTTTTTTTTTGGAGGCAAGGTCTTACTCTGTCACTTAAGCTGGTGTGCAGTGGCACGATTTCCACTCACTGCAACCTCTGCCTCCCAGGTTCAAGCGAGTCTCCTGCCTCAGCCTCCCAAGTAACTGGGACTACAGGCATGTGCCACCACACCTGGCTAATTTTTGTATTTTTCGTAGAGACATGTTGGCCAGGCTGGGCCCCTTACTCTTTACTATAGTCTCCTTATACTTTACCAGGATTCCTTGCTGTTTAACAGGACCCATTGCTCATTACCAGGACTCCTTGCACTCTAGGGAGGCCCCTTATACTTTCCCTTGGCCCACTGCACTCACCTGCTGTTGCATAGGGCAAACTTCCTCTCAGTCTGGGCCACTGCTCTCCAGTTGCCTGGAGTTTTAAGTCTTCTTAGGTCTCGCTACCTCTGGGCTTTCTCTCGCACTGATATAGATGGTGTACCTGTCTGGCTGTTCATGGTCTCTTTTCACCTGCTTACACTTTGGGGTTTGAAGTGTTCCCTTGTTCTCTTAATTTGTTGCAAATGTGGGTCCCAAGTTTTTCGTTTTGCAATATAGTTGCTCTACTTTTATCTAGAAATTTGGGGAAATCCAAACACTGTCTTACCACTGTTGTTGCCATCGTCCCAGCATTGATGGGTAGGCTTTAGACATTGTCTACCAACTTCCTACTGTGACAAAGGAGCATCTGTCCCACTCTTGTCCACCTTCCCTCCTGTTGGTACAGTTATACCACTATTTTTAACTTCTTTGTAACTTTAACATATTTATGTCTTCTTTCATCACCAGTGTCTCATCTCCCTACTTTGTAAGAAAAGGATATTTGAAACACTCTTAATCCATTTTGTGTTGCTGTAAAGGAGTACCTGCGGCTGGGTAATTTATAAAGAGAAAAGGTTTATTTGGCTCACAATTCTGATGGCTGAAACGCTCAAGATTGGGCATCTGCATCTGGTGAGGGCCTCAGGCTGCTTCCACTCATGGCAAAAGGGGAGCTGGTGTGTGCAGAGACCATGTGGTAATGGAGGAAGGAAGAGAAAGGAGGAAAGTACTAGGCTCTTTTTAACAACCAGCTGTCGGCCGGGCGCGGTGGCTCAAGCCTGTAATCCCAGCACTTTGGGAGGCCGAGACGGGCGGATCACGAGGTCAGGAGATCGAGACCATCCTGGCTAACACGGTGAAACCCCGTCTCTACTAAAAATACAAAAAACTAGCCGGGCGAGGTGGCGGGCGCCTGTAGTCCCAGCCTCCGGGAGGCTGAGGCCGGAGAATGGCGTGAACCCAGGAGGCGGAGCTTGCAGTGAGCTGAGATCCGGCCACGGCACTCCAACCTGGGCGGCAGAGCGAGACTCCGCCTCAAAAAAAAAAACAAAAAAAAAACAACCAGCTGTCATGGGAACTAATAGAGTAAGAACTCACTTATACCCCCTAGCCCCAGGTAGGGCATTCATCTGTTCATGAGGGATCTGCCCCCATGATCCAAACATTTCCCATTAGACCCCATCTCTGCGATCTTGGATCAGATTTCAACATGAGGTTTCGAGGGGACAGATATCCAAGCTGTGGAAACAGCCTTACTTTGCTCTTCAGCTCTCCTTGGTATTTTCTGAAATTTGTGCTTTTACATTTTCAAGACTGATAACAATCTTGGGATAGAGAAAAAGATAATTTGTCTTATCTTTAGGTGTAGGTTGATTTTATTTTATTTTATTTTATTTTATTTTATTTATTTATTTTTTTAGAGACGGAGTCTCGCTCTGTCGCCCAGGCTGGAGTGCAGTTGTGCGATCTCGGCTCACTGCAAGCTCCTCCTCCTGGGTTCACCCGCCAGTCTCCTGCCTCAGCCTCCCGAGTAGCTGGGACCACAGGCACCCGCCACCATGCCCAGCTAATTTTTGTAGAGATGGGGTTTCACCGTGTTAGCCAGGATGGTCTTGATCTCCTGACCTCGTGATCTGCCCACCTCGGCCTCCCAAAGTGCTGGGATTACAGGCGTGAACCACTGCGCCCAGCCTATAGGTTGATTTTAAAAGATGAAAGTCAACAAATAGTTTACTTTATTGTGCTAATAAACTATTCCAGAGACAATCATGTGTAATAATGGATTACTATCTGGCACAGCCCTTTGTTTTTCCTGGCGTTTTTAATTGCCTCCTTTATCACATTCATTTTTTTCTCCCCCAAACTCCTTCCACCTGTTATTCTCTGAGCCCCTTTTTGCTGAAGAGTCTGGGATTCTGTCTGCTCACCACAGCCTGGACCTACAGCTCTCTAGGCCTGCCTTCCACTATCCTCATGGATGTCCAAATCTTGGCTGTGCCTCTTAGTTAGGTCCAATGTTTCTTGGGATCTTCATCTTTGTTTCATTTACTCCCTCATTAAATTAGAGCACAGTTCTTAAGTAACATTCAAATAAAAGTTACATGTGAGATAAACTTTCTGAGTTCTTATATATCTGACAGTATCTTCATTTTACTATTTCTTTACTATTCCCTCCACAGAAAACATCCATGTTTTTTATTCTTGCTTTCCAGGCTTCCTGGAATGATGATGCTCTGTCTTATATTTTTGCCTTACATTTTCCGTAACTTTGTCTTGTTACCTATGTTGAGGAAGCTTTTCTTGACTTATCCTCTGGACTTTGAGTGGATGTTTTATCTTTTGCAATTGTTTTTATTTCCATCAACATTTCCTAGTTTTTGACTGTTCGTTTTTCATAGCATCCTGTTCTTGGTTTAGGAATGTAAGAGTTGCACACATCTCTCTGAAGATACTAGTTAGAGTTCATTTTAACTTTCTTTTGTTCTCCAAATTATCTGTTTCCTTCAGGGTTATTTTTTCAGGCCACAGGCATTTCTCAAATGATCTGATGTCTTTCATATTCAAGAAGGGGATTGTGGACCCTTGGCTGAGCCCTGGATATCTGGGCACAGCTCACTGGTCATAAGACATCGCTTCACCTTTGCAGGCAGGAGCCAACTGTGACACTTTGTGACTCCCCACTGTAAAGCCCAGAGGCTTTGCTTGAGGACTCTACTTATACACAGAGGGTACATTTCATGTACTCAGAGGGGAGCCTCCCTTTTTCGAGGGAAGAGTAAAAATCTGTTGAGTTTGAGGCGATCTGTCATCCAACCTCCAGCCCTTGCCCAAGCCTCCCCTGTGTCAGTCCTCCTGGGCCCTCCTGTGTGGGATCTTCCCTCTGTTGGCTTTTAATCTTCTGTCTTCTGATGCTTGCACCCTCTCCCACCTCTCACTGGATTGCTGTGTGTTTATACAATTTAAAAAATTATTTCCTTTCATGTGAGAGAGAACTCAGGAGGGAGAGAAGATAAATTCTTATCCCCAAACCTCTTTCTGAACCGGTAGCCAAGCAATCTTATTTATGACTTTGGTATTTTACCAAAGCACCACCTGACCAGCACCACCAAAGCCATGTGTCTGCCCTGTTGCAGGAGTAACCTGGACAAACTCTACCATGGCCTGGAACTCGCCAAGAAGCAGCTACGAGCCACCCAGCAGACCATTGCCAGCTGCCTTTGCACCAACCTCGTCATCTCCCAGGGGCCTTTCCTGTACTGCTCCCTCATGGAGGTCAGGCTTCCCACAGAGCACAGGCGCCTGGCCACAGCACCAGTGGCTTCGTCTGACCATCTGTCTCGCCTCCACAGGGCACTCCAGATGTCGTGCTGTTCTCCAGGCCGGCGTCCCTGAGCCTGCTCAGCAAACACCTGCTCAAGTCCTTTGTGTGTTCGGTGAGAGGGCAGGCGGGTGCTGTGGGTACAGGAGGGCAGGTGCTTGGAGAGCTCCCTGGACTGGGAGTTAGATGCTTGGGGTGCCTGTGGCTGTTCACCAGCTGCAAGGTCTAGGCATATCCATTACTTTTTTCTGAGCTGTCTTTTCCTCAGCTGACCCCTAGGAACCTTCTAGTTCTCTCAAGCTCTGATTCATCACTGGCTGTCTAAGTCACTCAGACGAGTAGGGAGGGGCCCTTGCGGAGTGAATAGGGCTGGGGCTTGTGTGCTATTGTTGCAGGTCAGGGAAAGCAGGATGGTTGTAGCAGAGACTGGCTTCCCAGCAACAGGTTGTCCACTAGGCTGATTTCCTGTGCCTGGCTTTGTCTTCTGTGTGGCCTAACCCCCTCTTGGCGTTGACGTGGAACACACTCCTAACTTGGCTGGCTTTAGGGCAGGGGTCCTCACCCAGCCAACATGGGGCTCTTCCCAGATGTGACATTTCAATAATTGAAGTCCTCCTCTGCTTCGAGGATGAGAGTTTATGCAGGGGGCTATTTCAAACAAAATGTGCTAACAGGAAGTTGAACTTTTCTTTTGCTACTGAACTAACCAGAAAAATGATGACAGATGACCTGTGCTGTATCAACCAGGTAATATCAAAGATGAACTAGGGACAGAGCATGGGCCTTGAAGTCCTCTAGGCTGTGTTCAAAGATCAGCCTCCTCATTTGCCAGTTGTGTGACGTGAGGTAGATAATCTGATCTGAGCCTGTTTCCTCATCCATGAAATGGATGAACACATACCTACTTTACAGGATCCATTCATTTATCAGACATGTTTTGAACATCCAGCACCTGCCTGGCCCTGTTGTCATGGAGTGACTGCCCATCCTGGTGCACATCCTGGGACACCCCTCAGTCCTAGACACACCAGGAATGCTGGTCACCTGGGCTGTAGGGTGTGGGTGCCACAGGCACAGCAGAGAAGGAGGCCCTGAACCTTTATCCTGAGGGAGCGTGCCAGCGAGAGGGGATAAGGAGTGGTAGCTGCGGTTAAGATGAGAGCATGTGCTGCCAGGGGATGGAGCAGGACGAGGCGGGGTGGCCTGGGGCCTCCTGGAGAAGGTGGCAGCTGCCGCAGGACCTGAAGGAGGTGAGGGAGGAGACAGCAGGGCGGGCTCCCTGCAACAAACAGCCAAGGGGCAGTGGGGCTAGGCTGGTACACAAGGAGGCTTGGGGACACAGCATCATGGCCACAGTACCACGCTGTGGGTACAGGAGGGCAGATGCTTGGAGAGCTCCCTGGACTGGGAATTAGACCCTGGCCTTGGGCATCTAACTTGGGGTGGCTGGGTGGGGACCAAGGCATCTTTGATGACAGAGTCCCTGGAGGCTCTGGGGAGTAGAGTGAGTGGGTGCTGTTGGGCTCTGGGCTCTGAGTGGTGAGCTGGGGCCCATCGTACTCTGACAGAGGGTGCTCTCTCCAACTCCATAGACAAAGAACAGGCGCTGCAAGCTGCTGCCTCTGGTGATGGCTGCCCCCCTGAGCGTGGAGCATGGCACAGTGACGGTGGTGGGCATCCCCCCAGAGACCGACAGCTCGGACAGGAAGAAGTGAGCAATTTCCACTCGTCCTGGGACTGGAGGGTGGGGGGTGTTGGGGGTGTCAGCTTGTTAGCCCTGCTGAGTAGAGTGGTATTTGCCTCTAGTGTCTGTCCTGGGGCCGGGGATGGGAAGGGTCCATTGCAGGCAGCCTGATCCCCGACATGTCTTGTGTATCTGCAGCTTTTTTGGGCGGGCATTTGAGAAGGCAGCGGAAAGCACCAGCTCCCGGATGCTGCACAACCATTTTGACCTCTCAGGTAAGAGTCTTCTGCCACTCTGCCACACTTCCCCACCTGACCCTTCAATGCCACTGCAGGCCCTGGAACCAGGCAAGTTGGCATGGCTGGAGGAGCCTGGCCAACAGCTCTCTTGACCTTCCAGATCCGGCCCTCAGACAGGCTACTCCTGGTGGCTCAGGGAGCTCTGGTGAGCCTCAGGCTCCTTAGAAAGGGAAAAAGTGTTTCCCAGGGAATGACAGGCCTGACTCTGGCCTTACAGCCAGTGCTAAGGATCACTTTCCCAGCAAGCCTAGAGAACTGGCCACCAGGGCCCCTGGGCCTCCGTCTCACCTGTCAGGGTTGGGTTGTTTCTGTTTCATGGGATGAGGAAACAGCAGGGCCTGTGATGACCCAGGATACCACCCCATGCTGTGCCCAGCCCCCTCTCCACGGGTTAAAGGTGTGTGTCGTGATAGGTGCTACCTGTGAGACAGCTGGGACACTAGCCCCACCTATGTGTCAGATGAGCCCAGAATAGATGGGCCTGCCTGCCTGTTGCTTCCCCAGCACCAGCACAGAAGATGGTTCACATTCGGCTGTGTTTGCCTTCTTATTCTTATTGACAGGCTTTAAAGTAAAACAGACTTACTGATATTTCACCCTGGGTTAGTTTGCTACAGCTGCCATAGCAAAATACCACAGACAGGGTGGCTTCAACCACGTGTCTCCTCCAGTCCTAGGGGCGAGAAGGCCCAGGTCAAGGCAGGGCAGGGCTGGCTTCTCCTGAGGCCTCTCTCCTTAGCTCACACAGATGCCCACCTTCTCTCTGTGTCTTCACGTGGTCTTCCCTCTGCACACCTCCCTGGTGTGTGTGTCCAAACCGCTTCATATTCTGAGGACACCAGACAGATTGGATTAGAGCCCATCCTAACAACCCCATTTGAACTTAATTGCCACAGTCATTCTAAGGTCCTGGGGGTTAGGGCTTCAACATAGGGATTTGGGGGAGACAGTTCAGCTCAACAACCTCAGTACTTCCCGCACCTCTGAGAAAGGAAATTTTCTTGCCTCATCACCACGGATTCCTCAACAATGATAGACACTGTCATGGGAGATCCAGCCTTTGTTGAAGTGGCCTCAGCCATCTCAGAGCTGCCTTCCTTGAGCCAGACCCAGCCATGGCTGTGGCACTGTGTGGCGTTGGTTCACCCCACACAGCAGCCCCTGCTAACTCTTTTGTGCTTGTACTGTGGGAGAGGTGAATGGACACCCACTGGCCTGCAGAATATCTGGCTTCATTATACAGGGAGGATTCGGGCTGGGAACTGCCTGGTCTCCCTGAGGGTAGAGAGCCAGGGGTGGGGTGCAGAGTGGGCCATGGCCAGTACCCACCTGTGTCGGGCTGGATCTGGGGCTCTCGGGGCTGTGGCTGGCGGCATAGACGGCTCCCAGGGCCAGGCCAGCCCCATTCTGGGGGCTAGTTTTGCTTTGTGGTGAGGGTTTGTGTGCTCAGCTGAGCCTGAGGGCCCTGTGATATGGGCAGTTTGCACCATGTCCCCTTGTGGGGAAGAGAACACTGAAGCCGAGGCATTGGCCAGGGTGCGTCCAAAAGTGTCCTGCCCCACCCAAGGACTTCCACAACCCACTCTGGGGACCAGGATTCATGCCAGGTGGGGTGGGCAGACCCGTTTCTGTCCAGGTCTGTAGGGCCCCTCCCTGTGTCCCCTCTATTGGCTTCCCGGGGCGGGGTTCTCTCTGCAGTCCCCAGCCCTGGCCTCTCTAGCAGTGCAGACAGCAGTTCTGACGACGAGGTACAGTGAGACAGAGACACAACCACTGAGTGCAGAACACCACAGACCAGGAGGAGCTGCACACTTTGGAATGCGGTGGAGGGCCGGCGGCGGGGGCAGTTCTGTGCCCTGCCTTGTGTTCCTACTCCTCCCTTCTCACGGCTGTTTTTCTTTCATTACTTCAGTAATTGAGCTGAAAGCTGAGGATCGGAGCAAGTTTCTGGATGCACTGATTTCCCTCCTATCCTAGGGTGAGTTACAGGGGTTCTGCAGGGGCAGCTGTAGCAGCCCCCTCAGAGCCCGACCCTGATGCCCTGCTCTGTCCTCCCTCAATGGAGGCTTTTACTTGGGTTTCAGACCAAAGCAGGGTTCTTGAGGAGATTGGAGCCAACACATTTTTCCCAAGCACATCTGTCCTTAGGCTGCCAGCAGGGCCACAATGGGGCATTTTGAGGTAGCTAATTTCATTAAGCCCCTGCGATCCCTTCAGAAAGAGCTGGTATTCACCCTCTGCTGACCGCATTCTGGGGCTGGGCATCCCGTGTGACACATGTCACACACAGACTCCCTGGTGCTGCCCTCGGAGGCCACCTGGAGCCTCCTGTCCCACAGCCTTCATGTCAAGTGCTGGGCAAGAGCCCACAGAGCAGGCATGCAGGCTTTTGTGTGCTTGGCTCATGAGAAAGCAAAGCTGTTGGCAGCCACTCAGCTGGGAATTCCAAAGTGCCGGTTCTGCTGGGGCCTTCACCAGCACACAGCTGTCCTGAGGGCCCCAATGGGATTCACTGGCAGGTCACTGACCCGGGACACCTCCCACTGCCCCGTGTACTACCTCTTTCTTAAGGGTTCCCAGGAAATAGGCCTGCCTTGTGTCTTTGTGACCATCTCTCAGCCCAGGTTCCCCACAGGGAATGCCACATCCAGCCCTGCATCTCCCGGAGCCCTAGCCTGGAGGCTGCGGCTGTGGCAGAAGGGCCCTGCCAAGGCTCTGTTGTAGGAGGTCCTTCAGGCCAGACCTGGGGTCCTTCCCACTCTCCCACCCATCCGTCCATCTGTCCATCCCTCCAGGGGCAAGCACCTGTTCTTTTGGGGCTGGAGTGGGGGTGTTCGACTGACAACAGCACAGGGGGCCTCAGGGACCCCACAGTTCCTCTCAGGGTGGCCTGGACTACAGAGGGCCCATGTTAGGGGAGGGGCTCTGGGTCAGACCCTCGGGTTTTTGGCAAGTTCTGTAGGCTCATCAGCAGTGACCTTGGACCAGCCACCTAATCAGACTGAGCCTGTTTCCTCATCCAAAAATGGGGCCCACTCTCTCCTTAGACGATGAATGTGAGCATCAGCACAGGACTGTGTAGTGTGGGGCAGATGCAGAGGTGGGGCTCTCCAGCAGTGGAATGGGTGCTAGAGGCAGACCCCTTCCCTGCAGCCTGCTTGGTGATGATGTTATGCTGCTGTGTGTTCTTCCACTGAGGCAGGGGTACAGGTGGCCTGGGCCAGGAGGGCTGAGCAGCAGAGTACCGAGGGATGGAGGGAGAGACCCCATGGGAGGGTGCCAGGGGGCTGGCTGAGCAGCTGGGTGGGGTCCGTGAGGTGAGAAGGTGCCTGGAAGGAGCTCTGATGTAGGACAGCTCAGCCCAGGCAAGGGGTGCTGTGAGGACAGCAGAGGCCTCTGAGTCTGGGGTGGCCTCACCCCCACAAGCAGTCCTGGCTACTCAGAAGCACTACCCAGAGGGAGTGCCTGGGCAGTTTGTTTAATTTGGTGGCACATCAACATTGTTTGAAACTTGTTTTTTCTTGTTTTCTTTTCTAGAATTTGATTTCTTCAGGAATGACCTCCTTATTTATATAACTGGCTTTCATTTAGATTGTAAGTTATGTACATGATTTGAGATGTAGAAGCCATTTTTTATTAAATAAAATGCTTATTTTAGGCTCCGTCCCCATTGTGGCTCTGGTCTCGAGGCCAGTGCTTAGGTGTGCCTTGAGTCTTCTATAGGTCCTGGGCCCCAGGTACCCTCAGCGCCTGGCAGGAAATCAGCATGAGGATTGGCCCGAAGTACAAGATCTCCTCACTCTGTCCTCCAGGACCTCCGGGTGGCAGTGGGCAGAGGTCAGTACCCCTCAGCATCCCCGCCTCCTCACAGCACCTGCACTGGCCACTGCCTAGTGGTGCCAGCCAGCACCTGCCTCTGTCCACCTACCACTTCCTCCGGTCCACTTGGCCTCAGCCACATAGCTAGTCCACTCTCTCAGCCATCCCTCCACCCGTGGGTCTCACTGTCCAGCACTCTTTTTCAGGTCTTTGAAGGCAGGAGTGATTTGGGTAGGTTTTAAGTCAGTGGGGAAAAGCTCAGAAAGAGTGACCTGGAAAAGCGCACACACGTAGGTGGGGCTGGTCTTGGTGCAGCCCTTGGCAAAGGGCAGTGGGCACAAAAGGGTCAGAGCTGGACTGGAGGCTGGGCCCCCCCCTTGCCTCTGGTGGTTTGCACAGCTCCCTGGGGCCCTTGAGCTGCCCACCCTGGCCATTTGGGAAAGTTCAGAGGCTGTGCAGCTGCCTTTCCATGCCCTTCGTTTTTTTTGTTTGTTTGTTTTTGAGACAGTCTCGCTCTGTCGCCAGGCTGGAGTGCAGTGGCACGATCTAGGCTCACTGCTTCCTCTGCCTCCAGGGTTCAAGCAGTTCTCCTGCCTCAGCTTCCTGAGTAGCTGGGATTACAGGCATGGCCACCACGCCCAGCTAATTTTTGTATTTTTAGTAGAGATGGGGTGTTGCCATGTTGGCCAGGATGGTCTTCATCTCCTGACCTTGTGATCCGCCCCCCTCGGCCTCCCAAAGTGCTGGGATTATAGCCGTGAGCCATCCCATGCCCAGCCCCATGCCCTTCCTTTCTTAGGAAACGGCTTGTGTGGGATGCAGCCCTCCCAGGCAGCCTTGAGCCTCAGCTTCTGACCAAACGCACCAGACCTGGTACTACCCAGCCCCAGTGGCCAGATGCAAGAGTGTAAGGACCATTGTTTCCGGCTCTGCCCAGGGCCACAGCTCTGGGATCACACACTCCCAAGCTTGGGGACTGCTCTTGGTCCCTGCTCTACAGGCCCAGGTGGGGCACAGGTCAGGCCTCCTGAGGACCTCTGCACTGTGGGGCCCCTATCCCTGTAACTCATCCCACCTCTGGTTCCACAGCAGCTCCCAGGAAGCTGCCACACATTCCAGCGGCTGCCCTAAGCCCCACTGAGCCCACATTCTTGGGGTTCTGCCACTGCCCCATGGTGGTAGCCTGGCCAGACCTAGGAGACTCCCTGCCACTGGATGTGGCCCAGACATTTCTGGGCAGGGCCCCCGAGGCCAGGTTGGAGCAGATGCCAAGTCTTCCTTCCAGCTGGGCTTAGAGCTCTTCCCTGCAGCATGCTCCCTTCATCAGCTGCTCTCTTCTGCTTCTAGCTTTATGTCAAAAGTTAAAAATGTGTTAATTCAAAGTACCTAGAACAAGGCTAAAAACAATGAGCTCTCAGTGACTGTTAGATGGCTCTAGACCCCCTATTCCGAGATGCCTGGCAGGGGCCAGCCCTGACTCCCAGGTCATACAGCCCCTGGAGGAGGAAGGTGCCCCCAGCAGGGGCTGGCACAGGTGCTGGTTGTCAGTACCAGTCTGGGCAGGCTGCCAGGCCGGCAGGGTGGGTGGGCACAGGCTCTGTAGGGAGCTACACTGGGACTGGTGAAGGAGCCAGGATGAGGGGCTGGAGCCAAGGTGTGGTACTCTGGGCAACCAGCTGTCAGCACCTCCTCCCATGGCAACCCCACTGTTGACTGGCGTGTCCTGCATTCACCCCTATTCCCGCCCCACCCACCATTGGAAAGGGCCTGGTCGGGAATTCTACAGACCTCTGTGGCCACTTGATGGGACCCGGAACTAGGCAAACCCTGAGACGGCAGTGGAAAACCTCGCCCTGTGCTGTGTGGGGCTCAGCCCTTTCTGAGAGAAGCCAGCGGCCTGACTGCCCACCCCCAGCACTTCCCACATCGCAGGACCCCCACTCACCAGCCTGTGTTGAGGGCGCTTCACCCTGCTGGGGTCTGCCGCTGCCCCCGCCCCTGTCCCATCCCGGGCCCCAGGGCCCCATGACTGCAGCAGCCGCTCTTCTGACCGCAGATCCCGCCTTTCTGGGCTGTAGTAAGTGGTGGCTGTGTCTCCCACCTGGTGGGAAGGTAGCAGGGAGGATGGGGAAAATGCCAGCCCTGGGAGGAGGTCTCTACAGGAGTCCTTGGGAGGGCGGGGATGGTGGGTGATGAATGGGGCTGCTGGACACGGGAGATGGCTGGACAGAGAACAGGACACAGGCGGGAGAGAGTTCAAACCATTTACTAAGTAGATTCTTAGCCTTCCCACTCCCGCCCACTCTCAAGCTCCGGTGCCCACAAGCCTTGCCTGGGGAGATGTTGGAGTGAGACCAGGAGGTCCAGGCCAAGTAACTGGCCCCTGGGCTCGGGCCCTGCTGATGGGGTAAAGACCAGCTGTACACATCTCTCCGGTGGGGTCCCTGGGCTCTTCATCCGCCCCTCCGAAGTCAGCAGGAGCCTCTGGGAAGTAAGGCAACAGCCAAGACCCCCAGCGTCTTGGAGGGGAAGCGGCATCCTCAGTCTGACACCCGCTCTGCCTGTGGAAACAGCGCCGCGCACAGAAAAGGAAACTGTCCGAGTCCGTCTGTTAAGGGCAGGGCCCGGCTGGTGGCAGGAGAGGGTCAGCTGCGGGCGCAGGCAGGAGCCCATCCAGGAACCGCGTCGGGGTGCAGAGCCGGACGTTCCGCGGTGCCTGCGCGCGGCGCTACCTGGCGGAAGCCGCCTGTCCATGCGGGGCTCCCCAGGCTCATCCAACGCCTCGCAGGCGTAGCTGGCAGGAGGGCCCCCGCCGTGCCCAGCGCCCTCAGACGTAGTTCTTCTTGTCGTAGTCGCCGGTGGCCGTGGGCCGCCGCGGCGCCGAATACTTCACGGGGAAGCTGAGGTCGGGACGGCTGGTGCAGACCCAGGCGCCGCAGCACAAGAGGCCGCCGCCTACCATGAGCAGCGCGGTGGCCGCCCAGCCGATATACAGCGCTGCGCCCAGCTCGTACTTCTGCGACACGGGCACAGACGGATCGTAGAACTCGCGGACGACAATGTTGGCGAACCAGCAGAGTGGCACGAGCGCAAGCAGCCCGCAAAGCAGGTAAAGCACGCCTCCCGTGAGGGCCACACGCGCCTTGGCCGGGCCCGGGGCCACGCAGGTGGTGCACTGCGCCCCCGCCAGGGTCACGAAGAGCGCAACGAACGCCAACAGCACGGCGCCCACGGTGAGCGCCCGCGCTGCCTGCACCTCGGTGCTCAGAGCCAGCACCGAGTCGTACACCTTGCACTGCATGTGCCCCGTGCTCTGCACCACGCACGACATCCACAGCCCCTTCCAGGTGGTCTGCGCCGTCACGATGTTGTGGTCCAGGAAGGCAGTCACCTGCCACATGGGCAGCCCACAAGCCAGGATCAGACCCCCCCAGCCCACCAGGCACAGCACCAGGCCCAGGATCTCCAACGCTGCGGACCCCATGGCTAAAGGAGAGACGCGAGCCCGACGGCCCCCCAGAACCCCCAAGGCCGTGCTGCGCGGCGCCCTGGGCGGGCCCTAGTGCCTTTGCGCCCGCGCTCCCGGCCCTCGGCCCCAGTCCGTTTGCCCTGCGGGTCTGTCGCACCTTCTAGGTCTGCCAACTCCTGCCGGGGGTACCCTCTTTGAAGGTTCGGGGGCGGATTCTGTCCCCCGGGCCCGGCCCCCCGGCCCGAAGCAGCCAATCCGTGCGCGGGCCGTCGTCCCGCAGCCAATCACAGAGCCCCTGGCAGCTGAAGTTAGGAAAACAACGGCTCTTGGGGGGTAGCTGAGGGCGCGGGACGGCTCCCCGCCCGGCCGCCGCCCCCAGCCCCACCCGTGGTTATCCTAGTCGCGGCCAAGAGCGTTCTGGGCTGGCCTAGGGCCCGCTTCTTGAGCCGCCTCCCTGCGTGTTCCGGCCGCGTCACTTCAGAAGGCGCTTGACCCCCAGCCTGCACCACCCGGTCCACTCCCACATCCCCTACTGAGCCCAGTGGTCTCTTCCACCGGAGCCAGCTCCACTCCACTGACCGGGGTTTGCAGGAGCCGCCACCCCCCAACCCCTGTCACAGCCGTAGAGGCCCTTGTAGGGGGTGTCTCCAGAAAGCCCGCCCCGGAGTCCAAGCCCCACCCAGGCCCTTTCCCGCACTCTCTCTCCAGCCCGGCTCTGAGTCCCGGCACTGTCTCTCTCACCCCATGGCAAACGGAGACGCCAGGCAGCCATATGGAGGTCAGGCCCAGGCTCCAGCCTCACCCCCCCATGCCACTCACTGCCTCTCTGGAGCCTGAGTCTCTGGCACAAAGCGGTGGCACAGGGGCTTTCCCCCTGCCTGGCGACCCCCACTCTCCCAAGCTGCAGGGGCTTCCCAGACCTCTCAATCTTCATAGGGTCTGCTCCTCTTCCTGCGGTACTGCCCGCACCCCATCCTTGGGGGCCCAGCTCAGGTGACACCACTTCAGGAAGTTCTCAGTGACCCAGCACACTGAGTGTATACCCAGGGGCAGTGGTGGCCCCAGGCCTAGCAGCCTGCTCTGGCCTTCAGACAGGAGAGACAAAGGGACACGGAGGGGCTGTGCCCTGCCCTCCCACCAGTGGCGATGGTGTCCCTGGCACCCCAGCCCCCAGGCCACCCTCCGGAAGCCAACTTGGAGTTTCCTGGCCAGGAGGAAGAGCCCCCATCCTTGCTGGGGGAGGGCGGCGCGGGATTTCCGGGCATTCTTCTGCACAATGGCCCAGCCATTTCTCGAAAGGTCCACTGGGGTGGACACTCCGGGCCCCCTGAGGCTCAGGTGGGGGCACAAGGCTCCAAAACCCACAGTCCCATGGGGACACCGGCCCCTTTCTAGCAGTTCTTTCTCCAATCTCTGTCGGCCCCTTTGTTTCCAGTAAAGTTTGAACTCCAGGCCCTGGACTGAAGCCACTGGGTGCCCAGTTCTTTTATCTGGTCTGTGCTCAGTTCCATTGGACAGGACCCTCCATGGAAAAAGCATGGCACTGAGGCTGGTCACAGATGTGGGAGCTTTGATGACTTTCTGCCTCCTGGGGCCTGGTTCCCTTCTCCCCCTTCAGATGGCTCTGAGATGGTAAATGAGGTAAGGCCAGCATCTGGCTTACCTAGTGTGGGGAGGCTCTGAAGGCAAGTGTGCCCAGCCCTGAGGCTGGAGGGAAATCGTTTGCTCAGCCCCACGTGGCCTCTCCCCACCAGGTGTGGCTCTGAGGACCACTGCCTTCTCCCAGCTATCACTTTAGTCACTGCATCCCTCCTGCTGCAGACCCATGGGCCACGCCCCTTCTTCTACAGACCCTCCTGGACATCTCCTCTGTGTACTCCAGGGGTCCAGCTGACCCACCCACCCTCTCACTCTTACTACCCCCTAGCCCAAGCCCAGGGACCTTCCCCGGATCCCCCTACTCCCAGCCGTTCCATGCCACCATCTTCCTGGGATGACTGCTGTGGCCTCCTCAGCTCATCAGGAACCTGCCCTTGCCCAGCTAGGCCACCCCAGCAGGCCCGTCTCCTGGGCCTCACCCTACCTAAGACCCTCCATGGCTCACATTGCCCATGGACAAAGAGCCGACCCCTAGAGCAGCTGGACTGATGTGTACCTGCATGTGCTAGGACTGGCCAGTCCAGTCACCAGGCTTGGCGAGGCCCTGAGCACACACTCTGCCCCAGCAGACTCACCTGCCTATGGGCCTCATGTGGGCCGTCTCTTACCTTGGCCTCTTCTGCCCGCGGTGTGGGTCTGTCAGGTTGCGTCCTGCTCATCTTCTTTATTTTTTTTTGTTGTTGTTGTTGTTGTTGAGACAGAGTCTCGCTTTGTCGCCCAAACTGGAGTGCAGTGGCCGGATCTCAGCTCACTGCAAGCTCCGCCTCCCGGGTTCACGCCATTCTCCTGCCTCAGCCTCCTGAGTAGCTCGGACTACAGACGCCCGCCACCTCGCCCGGCTAGTTTTTTGTATTTTTTTAGTAGAGACAGGGTTTCACCGTGTTAGCCAGGATGGTCTCGATCTCCTGACCTCGTGATCCGCCCGTCTTGGCCTCCCAAAGTGCTGGGATTACAGGCTTGAGCCACCGCGCCCGGCCTGCTCATCTTCTAAGTTGTGTTGCCAAGATCACTTCCAGGAACACCTTGCTGCACCGTCCCCCAGCATTGCTTTTAGAGGCTTGAGCTGGACCTGTCCATTTGCTTGTTGATTTTCCCACCCGCTATCCAGGAATAACCTCCACAGGGCGGCTGTCTTCGTGTTTCTGTTCTGCACAGGATGCTGCCTGTCGCCCTCTAGCCAGCTTGGGGCTGCAGCCAGCCCAAGGCTCTCCCTTCTCACCTGGCAGCCTGTTTTTCTTCTCTCCTAGCTGGCACCCTAGGGTGGCCCCAGCAAGCTCACGCTTCTTTGGTGGCAGCCTCACAGCATCACAGGGACATGGCAGAGGAGTCTCAGGCTTCACCTTTCACAATCTGATTTCTATCCTGTTGGTCGAGGCCCCAGGCTGCAGTGGAACCAGTGCCAATGCAGAGAGGCCCAGAGAGGGCCGCAGGGGCTGACACTACCCCGGACAAACCCACCTCAGATGGAGGCTGGCCTCTGAGTGGCTCAGGCCAGACTCCGGTGGGGCATGAGGGTGCACCCACTTTTCCTGCCACTGATGGAGGGTCTGCCCACCTACTGTGTGGCAAGCACTGTCTCTAGGCAGAGCACACAGCACAGGCAGCTCCTGCCCATAAAGAGCTGACAGGAACCTATCAACCAAGAACTGGGCAGGAAAGACAGTGGTGAAGACCTCTCTGAAGAGGTGACATTTCACAGGGATCCGGGGAATAAGTTCCAGCCAGAGCAGAAGCAATAGCCAGTGCAAGATCCCAGAGGTGAGAAGGGGCTGGGCATCCAAGGGACAGAAGTGACCTTATGTCCAGAGTGCCACGGTGGTCCAGAGCCTGCAGGTAGAGATCAGAGGTGTCCTGTTCAGGCAGGGACACAAACCCCTGATCTCTGGCGAAGGGCCCTTGGGGCAGAGCGCTGGCCAAGGCCACCTGCTCACCCCAGCCATTGTTCTGCTTTCCCAGGGGAAGTACGGCAGGATCTCATTAATTGTGTGTGAGAAAAGCCTGAGTCTGCAGAAAAGCCAAGTTTATCTTAAGCAGCTGCTGGCTGACCCTGCCCCAGGGTAATCCGGTGACCTTCCAAGGATAAGCTAAATTTAGGCTCAAGATTCCTGGGGATTTGGGTTTGGGAAGCTCCTAGTTAACAGATTTGATTTCAGGGGAAGTGAAGAACAGCGTTTCTTCTATCTTTCAGTTTTGAAACAGTTAAGGATGTGTCCTTCCATTTCCGCAAAAGTTTGCAGAGCCTCTAAGCACAGAGTGTGGCCTGGTGCCCTTTCTTGACACAAGCCAGTACTCCTGCAGACTGAGAGCAGCAGCTGGGGTCCTCGTGAGTCACTGACCGCTGGCACCAGGTGCCCGAGACACCCTGTGTGGGGCCCCTGGGCGGCTGTGACAATGTGAGCAGCATCCAAATTGGACAGTGCTAGACTCGGTGGTTTTGCTGGCATTGTTGTTACTCTTTGTGGTTAAGCGCAGGCATGGAGTCAGATTTTCCCCCGCAAGCAAGAAACTGTCTGGACTAGTGAGGTGGCCTCTCTGCCTTAGTTCCTTACTGGTAACGAAGCCTCCCATGGTGGAGGCTGCGAGGCTGCAGCGGAGGCCGATGCCAGTCCCAGTTCTCTTCTTCCATTCCTGAGTGCCATCCACCTGGGCTCCCTGGGCCCTCACAGCTCATCCAACCTCAGACTTGCCCCTCAGAGTAGGCATCGCTGGCTGTTAGTCAGAATTGGAGGTGATTGTGGCTTTAACTTCCCCAGCGGGTGAGGGAGTTGGGGGCAGGGAGCTCTGGTACGATCCACGATCCACGAAGGATCAAGGGGTCTATAGAATGGCGAGCCAGGCTGGGTGCAGTGGCTCACACCTGTAATTCCAGCACTTCAGGAGGCCGAGGTGGGTGGATCACTTGAGGTCAAGAGTTTCAGACCAGCCTGGCCAACATGGTGAAACCCCATCTCTACTAAAAATACAAAAATTAGCTGGGCGTGGTGGTGTGCACCTGTAATCCCAATTACTCAGGTGGCTGAGGGAGAATCTCTTGAACCTGGGAGGCAGAGGTTTCAGTGAGCCGAGATCATGCCATTGCACTCCATGCTGGGCAACACAGCGAGACTCCGTCTCAAAAAAAAGAAAACAAAAAAAAGGCCACCAAAGTACATCATAAACCAAATTTCGTACAACTAGTGCTAAAGAGAAAGTCTTAAAAGCATGGAGAGGCAAAAGACACATTGTGTGCAGAGGAATCAAGAAGGAGATTTCTTGTTGGAAACAATGCAAGCAAGAAGATAGTGTAGCAATATCTTTAAGGTACTGCAAGAAAAAAATCCCTGTAACGTAAAATTTTTTCTTTTCTTTTTTTTTTTAAAAGACAGGATTTCACTTTGTCACCTAGGCTGCAGTGCAGTGGCACAAACATGGCTCGCTGCAGCCTCAGCCTCCAGGTTCAAGTGATCCTCCCACTTCAGCTGCCCAAGCACCCAAATAGCTAGGACTACAGGCGTGCACCACCACACCCAGCTAATTTATTTTATTTTACTTCATTTTATTTTTATTTTTTAAATTTTTTGTAGAGATGGGGTTTCACCATGTTGTGTAGGCTGGTCTTAAACTCCTGAACTCAAGTGATCCATTCGCCAATCCCAGTGCTGGGATTACAGCATGAGCCATCATGCCCAGCCTTAACCTAAATTCTACACTCACCAAAAATATATTTCAAAAATGAAGGCAATACCACGTCCATGAATGAGCCTGAAAAAAATAAATGAAGGCAGCCAGGTATGGTGGCTCATGCTTGTAATCCCAGCACTTTGGGAGACTGAGGCTGGCGGATCACCTGAGGTCAGGAGTTTGAGACCAGCCTGGCCAACATGGTGAAATCCTGTCTCTACTAAAAATACAAAAATTAGCTGGGTGTGGTGGCGGGCACCGGTAATCCCAGCTACTTGAGAGGCTGAAGCAGGAGAATCGCTTGAACCCAGGAGACAGAGGTTGCAATGAACTGAGATCGTGCCACTGCACTCCAGCTGGCATAACAGAGCAAGACTCCATCTCAAAAAACAAAGACAAAATATACTTCTGCTTCCTAGAAGACAGATAAACATATGTTTCCCTATTCCTTCCACAAATAAAAACCCTAAATGTTATAAATAAAGCAAACATAAGGAGATTCTAAGTGTTATAAAGAAGGCAGAGAAGCTAGAGACTTAGAGCTAAGGATGAAATGGTGGTGTTTCTCTGGGTTGTCTTTTTGTTTTTTATTCTTACTTTATTTATTTCAGAAACAGGTCTCATTCTGTCACGCAGGCTGGAGTGCAGGGACACAACCATAGCGCACTGCAACTTTGAACTCCTAGGCTCAAGCGATACTCCCACCTCAGCCTCCCAAGTAGCTGGGACTACAGGTATGCACCACCACCCAGATAATATTTTTTTAAAATTTTTGTAGAGACAGTCTTGCTATGTTGCTCATGCTGATCTTGTAACTCCTGGTCTCAAGGGATCCTCCTGCCTCAGCCTCCCAAAGCACGGGGG